GGGGGCTTCAGGAGTGACAATCAAAATGCACTGTGTGATCTGAAGGGAGTGTCAGAGCACCCTAGACACCCAGGAGAGGAGGAGAGGTACTACCGCTCGGAGCAGCCCTCAGCCTCACCCTGCAGGGCCTTTGATGTTCTTGGTCACTCTGACATCAATGAATACGGACAATCGGTATTACACATACAACGAGTTTTCTCTACTCCGGCCAGAACCTTCCTAAAACATCATTTCGTACAAATTGCTCCCCTGCTCAAAATCCTTGAGTAGCTCTGAACCATGCAAACAGTCAACAGTATCAAGTCTAGACTAAGTAGAATAACATTTCAGTTAGGAAATGTTAACTGACATTTAGGCTGACTCTTGGCTCCAGCGGCACCGGTGTACATAAACCGCACAGTTGACTTAGAGAGGCCTGCTTACCTGGAGGGGCCGGAGGTATGTGAGAGACCTCTTCCACCACTGCCCGTCGCTGACCGCCTGCAGCACCGCCCTAGTGGTGGTCGTGGTGTTGGACAGGACTTTCATGGTGGTGGCCGTGGTCCAGTGCAGCAGGTCCGCTGAGCTGCCACCTGGAACACTGACCTCATCCTAGGATAAATGCAACGAGAAGAGCCGAAGTGGTGGGTTGTCATAAGAACAGAGGGCGGTGACGCAGCCCCTTAAGATGATCAGACATGAGCCAGGTAAACTAGAAAATCCCTCTCTGCTCTAACAAAATAAGGTGAGACCAAGCACTGCTGGCATACCGGTCCTCCATGAATCACTCAGAGGAAAACTGTAAAGGAAACCACACCATAGCGCATCAAACAATCCCTTTCAGAAACACTGCAGCGGTAAAAATGGTTCTTGAGGTTTTACCAACGTAATATCCCACCCGTGCGGTGCACTCATGCTTGTTTCTGTGACAAGGCATTTTAATTATTTATTACTTAGATTAAGAAATGAATTAGTCACTCAAGCAATGCTGAGTTCCATAACAACACAGCAGAGCAGGCATCAGAACACCACTGACGCGAAAGTAAACTACAGATCACGTACGCTGACCATGCTGCCTGCAGGCGGTCAGCCTCTGGGCGTCTCCTCGCATCCCGACCGGGTCTGGCCACTCACTCCCTGCAGGGTTCCTATGCTCCAGAAAGTGCTCTCTCACACAGGCGCTGATGTTTCTATTTACTTCAGGCCTTTTGTTCCTCTGCACTTAAAATTACTACACTCTCACTAAAGATGGTCTGAGAGGTTCAAGAATAGGGGAAAACGCATACTGCATTCACAGTTCAAATCCAGGCTCAGAAAGCTTTCGGTAAAAAACTTTCACTGAAGTATTATATTCAAAAAACGTGCACATACCAGGGTACAATTTGATCCATTTTAACACACCTGTGGAGCCAGCACTGCGACTGAGAAACAGCTCAGAACCCCAGATCCCTCTCCTGCGCTCACTTCCGCACATCACCAATGCCAAGATAAAACCATCCTGACTTCTAGCAGCATAATTTACTTTTGCCTATTTTTATACTTTATAGGAATGGAATTCTGTCTCTTTTGTGTGTGACTTCTTTCAACAAAATCACTCATATTCTTGCAAGTAGAGCACCACTGCCTGACCATGGTTAGTGTGATGCACGGCACTGCTAATGTAACAGAGAACAACGTGGCGTGAACATATCAGAGCCCGTGTATCCTCTCTATTGACGAGCACTTGGCTACTCTCCAGTTTGGAGCTAATACCTACAGTGCTGCCCTGAGTATGTTAGTAATTATCTTTCAGTGAACATCCACATTTCTGGGTATATACTTAGTAGTGGAAAGGCTATGACATAGAGTATGCCTATGTCCAGGCTTAGTAAACAATGAAAAGATTTTCTAGAATGGTCATACCAACTTGTGTTCTAACCAGCAATTACAAAGCCCTGGCTTCTCCATGTCAGTGCCAACACGTGGGATCCCATGCCTTCTTCCTCTCAGCAGCAGGTGACTCTCCTTCTGGTTTTAACTGGAATCTCTCCAGCGGCACCTTTTCACGCACTCACTGGCCGTCTGAGTCTCCTCTCTGTGAAATGTCTGCTCCTGTATTTTGTCCATTCTCGCTGGTGGTCGATCTTTCTTACTTACTTGTTAGAGGTTCCTCACATATTCTGGATACACATCTCTTATTAGATACATGAATTGTGAATATTTTCTGTTACTCTGCAGGTTATCTTCCCACTGTCTTAATAGTGTCTTCTGATTAATAGTTCTTAAATTCTAAGCTATCAGCTTTGTGACTTTATGATTAGTATTTACGTATCATATTTTAAAAATCTTTGCTTATTCCAAGGTCACAAAGATGTTTTTCTATACTTTCCCTGACATGTAATATTTTTGCTGTAAGTCTCCTCTGCACTCATAGCATCGGAGGCGTCATGCAATGCACTCACCATAATATATTAATACTATGAGTGGTTTCTGTTTTCCTGTTTGCCTTCCCAACCAGACAACAGCTATTTGAGGGCAGAGACAGTGACTGTTCATTACTGTACCCTCAGCGTGTATAACCGTCCCTGATGTGTCTTTGTATCTACAGACATATGTAAGAAGCTGGGAGTCACCACACTATCTAAATGTTTGAAGACACATTTTCTAAAGCCAAGTACATTCATGTTTACAGTAGCTAAATGTTATTCAAACAGGATTTCATGTCACACTTTGGATTCCCATCTATCTTCAGAACCTTTTTAATTGAGAGGGTGTGCTGAGAGATTCGAGTGTCACCAACTAATCCAAGTATAGAGCCAAAAATATAGACACGGTAGGATATGGGCCACTTAAAGAGAATGTAGGAAAATTCAATCTATCAAAAAAATATCAAAACACGCAGGCTGTGAAACAATTATTTCATTTCATGAAATGAGCCTAAACTTCACACACGGAGGGACTAATTCAAGAAAGGAACTTTAAACATATGAAACTTCAGGTTTGCTCCAAAAAGATAAGTGAAATCCACACATGCGGGAATGTGCGTGATAAAGGGTTTTCTGTGAGAGGTCCCCTAATGAGAACTGACAAAGAGAAAGTGAAATAAAAAGCTCATTTGGACCACAGAGGAGATTTAATTTGGGGGCAGTCTACCAAGATTATAGTGTAACCAGAGGCATTATGAGGAAAATAGTTCTCTTTCAACTTCATGTACTAAAGAAAGGGAAAGGAGGTTAGGAAAATCCTGCAACGACTGCTGCTGGCACACTTTATTCATAGCTGCCTGCTGCTAATTAATTTAGAGTGTACAGCAGCAGAAACCGATTAATCCCCAAAACCAAATCAACAACTCCCAGCATAAAATTCAACATGAAATCCCATTAATGTCAAGTGTGGCACAGAGCTCAAAGGTTGATTGACTAAGCCCTAATCTATTTCTGAAACCCTACAATAGACACCTTTACCAAATGGGTGCGTGCCCACAGGAACAAGGGTAGTTCCACATGACAAGCTTGGCTCACAGAAACGATTCTTGTTGAACAATCACTAGAGTGAATAATCTAAGGGTTGCTCTCTCTGGTGTCTGGTAACGTCAGGGTTAATTTCTGAGCAAGCTGCCTGCCTGCCATCACTGAGCTGGTGGTACACGTCCAGGCAGGGCGACAGAGCTCAAAAGGAGCTCCGCCACTACCTGTCTACTCCAGCCTATCTTTAGGCAATCCACATGCACCTCACACTTCAAATTTCACCCTGGACTCACAGTATTTCACCATGAACTCACAGAATTAAGAATGCAGTCCTTGTTACCGGCAATGCCACTTTTAGAAGCATTTGTCTGAAGGAGCAGAGGAAAAATCCCCCAGACTAAGTCACTCTGAGTCTGATTCTGCTTCAGTTCATCCGCTAACCACAGGCCGGGCTCCATTTCAGATGGTCCCCCTCCAGGAGTCACAGACCCTACACATTCTAATAAAGCCTGTCAGTCCTTTCCCCAGAAAACTGCACATGCATGTGCTCACATATGAACACGCAAAGTCACAAATACATACACACCAAAACAGTCACACTATTTAGGTGCTTTAGGAACCAAAACCTTCTTGGATGGCCTAGAATTCCTAGGCCCAATTTCTTTTACTTTCCCAAACCTCCCCTATTCACCTCAAAAGGTTTATAAACAATTGGCTTTATGAAACCAAAGTCCTTCTAGGAGAAGCGTGCATTTCTTTCCCTGTATCTCTGAGATATAAATACCTGGTCTTCTTCAAGAACTCTTAGCTGAGCCATCTTTTAAAGTGCAGGTTTCTGGGACATCGCAGCTAACGTGCTAACATACCGACAAAACAAGGTTACGGAACTCATATTCCTGACATGCGTACAAAGTTTAGACCCAGTGCTAGGCAACAGGGTTACCATGACGATTAAGATATGTTCCCTTCTCTTAAGGAACACATAGTACAAAAGGAAACAAAAGCAAATAATGTGATTATTTCACCAATGAACTGAGAACTTCTCAAATTGGACCCCATTCAAATACTCCTCCCCACGTAATAACAGAATTTATCCCCACCCATCACATCCACATCTTACCTTCATTTATTTTACTCACTGATTCTTCAACAGGTATCTGTGACATCAAACATACAATGACAAACACTGTTCTAGATGCTGAAAACCGAGCAGTGAAAAAAGCATGGATCCTGCCACAGACAGGTTACATTCCAAGAAAAGATGGATAGAAAATAAACAGAAAGTGTGTCAGAGAAGTATATCAGAGAGATGACAGAGTCAGGAGAAAAGTGAAGTGACACATGGCTGGGGACCATAACTGTGCACATGGAAACCTGGAAGCGCTCAGTGGGGAGATGCATGAGAAGAGACCTGGAGGAAGTGAGAGAACAGGTCATCCAGATATTTGGGAGAACATTCCAGGTAGAACACAGAGGCAGAAGGTATCGGGGATGCTTACAGAAGGCCAAGGAGGCCAAGATGACTGCAGTCTGCGGAGCACAGTGAATGGGGGTTGGCGGGGCAGAAAGGGGCCGGGGAGAAGAGATAATAAGAGCACACAAATAACCCAGTTACCAATGGGCAAAATATCTATGGCCCCTTCACCACAGAAGGTAGAGGAGTGCCAATGAGCACACGAAAAGATGCCCGCTGTCGTTATCGTTTAGAAAATGCATCCGAAATGACAATGTGACACCACACACCTCCCTAAGCAGGACTACTCAACCAGCCCCTCAACAGCAGGTGTCGGCGAGGAAGGACGTGGAGACCCTGGAGCCGTACTGCTTCCTGGTGGGAAGAGGGAAACGCTGCAGCCACTCTAGAGAACAGCTGGCAGTTTCTCCAAACGCGTACCACAGGATGCAGCACTTCGCTCCCAGGAACCGAGACCAGAACCCGGAACGTTCCCAAAGACTTGTACGGCAGTGCTCCCAGCAGCATTCCTCATGATAGCTCAAAAGTGAAAACCACCGAAAAGCCATCCACTGGGGAATGGAACAGGAAGACTGCCCGTGACATTGAAATACAACTGCCATTTGCTCACTTTTACGTAAACAGTATTTCTGATTGAAGCTTTTATAAATTCAAAATAGCTCTTTGCTTATAGCCCATGCCCCAGTTCTAAACATTAATTTGTCCAGTTGTATGAATCTGTAGCCACTTAACATGTTCAGAACAAGTTTTCCCACAGTGAAAATGATTTTTTAATGGGAACCTTGTATATAATCCATTTCCAGTTCTAATTAGGTTTATCTGGGGAAAACACCATTGGTAATTGATACAACAAATACCAGCTAAACAAAATGCTAATATAGTCCAAGTGGTGGAATATTGTTACATCTAAAAACCATAATAACCAACATTAGTAAGAAACTGGAAAACTGTAATTTTGGTCGTTTGCCCTAGTGCATTTTGTTCTATTTATAAGCAAACATCTTGTTCGCAGGGACGACAGTCAATGTCTTCACCCTTGTAGGCTACACTTGTACTAATGCAAATGCTACTTACGGCATAGCAATTACATCTTTATTTGCTGGGATATATAAATAAAAATCATTATTTCCACAACTCAGTAATGAAAGTCCTGAGCATTAAGCAGATCACACATAGGCAGCTCCCATTTAAGAGTTGTAATTTAATGTGGTTATTATATCTGTTAATGTGTAACCGCGGCATCTTAGAGCTGGGCTCTGTATTTTAATCTAATAATAGTGGCTATAATATTCTGAAATGTGCCTCATGAATCAAAGCCGTAATGTGCTGGTTGAATTTGGATTAGCACTTCATGAGATCTAGATGTATTACAACTGCTGAAAGAGGACAGGGGAGAAAGGAAAGCTTTTAAGGAGCTAAAAAAGAGGTGAGGGGAGATATTTTGAAAGAATTCCTTTTCCTTCCTAAGCAGAACATGTAAAGGACTGCAGGTCTCCTTTGCTTGTAAAGAGACTAATGGAGCAACACGTGCCTACTTGTGGTAACCCAGTGTGTCCTACTCCAAAGAAGCCACCTAGGGGTCAGGCCAACACTTTCTAATTCATTGTAGAATCAGAAAATAGGAAACCCAAAATCTCAAAGGCTTTTGATGGATTTTACAAAGAAGGGTAGGGATTAGGATCGTGCTATGGAGCTGAACTCAGCAGACACTCTTAGCGATTCAATTCTATCCTAAACAGAGAAATGGTACACCCCTTACAATGGCCAAAACATAACAGGATCCTGGGCACCACACCACATACAGACTAGTTAAATAGGAAATTCCTTTGCTTTTAGGCTGAAACCTACTTTCTAATTCATTTTTACCACAGACTAATTTTATGCAGTGGGAGTTTCCCACTGAGCTTTATCAAACACTTCCCAGGCATTCCCTACAAGATAAGCTCTCCATGGACAACACACAAAGAGAAATGACATCCTTCTGGTTAGCAAACAATAGCACACACACCCCGTGCCGACAACGGTGGGAGAATGTGTGGGCACAGAGAGGGGGAGCCGTTAGAGGGCTCAAGAAAAACTCTACAAAGATGATGCTGCTTCAGATGTGGTGACCAGAGCACAGGACAAGAGGGCAGTGCAGGCAGAGGGAAAACTCCACCACCAAGGGTGTGAAGAGCCTGCTCAGAGAACAGGGTGGGCTCAGCATGACTGGAACACAGCACACGTCAGAAAGGCATGCAGATGAGGCTGAGCTGACAACCTGGGGGATGCACAGGACAAGCAGGAAAGGGTCAGAGGCTCCAAAGATGCAAAACGTGGAATAAAGATCTCACTGAAAGGGGGTCTTGGATAAATCTCACAAACACAAAATGGAACGTAACTGTTTTATATAGTGCAAAAACAGGCAAAACTGAACTATTACTGGGAGGGAGGGAGGTATTAAAATTATTTAAAACAAGAACAAAAATCCACAAAGATCTGGGGGGTCAGAGTGAGTCGGGGCAGTGCTGATCTCCGGGGGGACGCAGAGCTTAGAAACCAGGTGGGGAGAGGAGTGGGGGCAGTGGAAGGCTAAGCACACCATTCCTTCAACCGCGTGGTGCTTTCACGGACGTTTTCTCTGTGACAAATTACTGACCTGCACATTTTCATTTTATGTATTTTTTTCTATACAAATGTTATACAGGGTGGGGCAAATGTAGGTTTATAGTTGTTGGTATGGAAAATAATACAATAATTAATAAATAATAATACAAGAATAAACTGTTGGGAGGACTTGCAACTGTAAACCTACGTTTGCCCCACCCTATATTTCAAACACACACAAAAAAGTTTAAAAGACAGTCTCTACAGACATAAAGAGAAAGAAACACACACAAAGGCACGCACACACCCCGCCTCACACACCAGGTTAGGTGACTCCCATTCATTCTACTGGGGCCCAGCCTCTTTCACAGACCCTCCCCTGGCACTGACTCACCTCGGGCGGCCCTGTACTCTCCTCGCCTTCCCGGTGGATCTGGAAATTCACTCTTTGGTAAAGAATCTGAAAAGAGAGCACCATACATTATAAAGACACTGCATTTTTCACTTTGCCTCTCTCCACAGTGTGGGCTGCAAAGTTAAGGACTCTTTGGGGGAAACCATGACTGTTTCCTAATGAGTGTTTGGAGACAGAACGTGGGACTTTAGGACCAGTGTCACAAGGACACAACTGTCTCAGTGGTGGGACCAGCCGTGAGCAGCCTGATGTTCGATGTGATGAATGAGTAGGACAAAGGGGAGTGGACTCCAGGATCCCTTCCTCTATTTCACACTGGCTCCCCCTTACACAGCTCCACTGTGGGTGTCAGGAGGGCCAGCACCCCCCACCCAGAGCCCACTCCCCTGCCACTTCATAGGGCCTCTAAGGACGGGCCACCACAGGTTAGGATTCATAGGCTTGTGAGTGTATTTCACATGCCCATCGCTTGTATGTCTTATTCTTGACAACACTAATTCTCCCATGTGTTCAATAACTGATTTCCTAACGTTACTTTGTTTCCCTCACTTTTGCTCTATACCCTTTTTTCCGAACTATAATAAAGCAAACAGCACTGTTTTATGTCCTGGTATCTTCAAGTTCCTTTTCACATGAGTAACAAGCTATTTTTCCTCCATAAGTTACATTTCTTATTTTTTTAAATGACCACTAACCTAAGATCCACACACCCGACAGCACACCCCTCGCACAGTTGGGACACACTGGCTGGGAGCACTTACCTCTGTCTGCAGAGAGCTGCTAGCCGCCAGGAGAGGCTCAATGCTGCCGGGGGGACAGTGCGTCAGAGCAAATGCCATGAGCTCCTGACGAGTGGCCAAGTCCCGGAAACCTTCCGACTGTCCTAACTGGCTACAGACATCCCAACTTTTAGAATAACCTGCGAAATCGACAAGAAAAAACACGTTGACTTTGCAAAGAAGAACACACTCCAATCTAATGTGAGGATGTCAACGGCTTTCTGCTCAGGCCGTGGGTTACCAAAGCCAAGTCACAGACGTCAGCAATACACAATTTTATAGAACCAGAAACACACACACAAGGGCCTATGGCAGAACAGAGATAGCACGTTGGTCTATCATCCAGAACGGTCAGCACCACTCCAGACACATTTCTGACAAACTCTGATGAATTTCAGATCACCTGACAATGATTACAAATAATCTACCTGACGCTGAGTGAACAGCTGGATGTCTGAATTCAGAAAACGTAAGGCTTTGGCCCAAGGCTGCTACACACTTGAGCTTCAGGAAGCTCCAAGTGTCACGCTTCCTTTACCACAAAGAGACAATAATGACGTCTTCCTGGTTGGGCTGTTGAAAGGATTAAGTAATGCTTGTGTTTAAAGTACTTTATAAACTGCAAAGTGCTAGGAAAAAAGAGATTATTCTAGACGGCTACACAGACTCATTCGCTTTACAGAAGAGACAGAGATCCAAGGAGAGAGACAGGATACCACCACCACCCTGGCTGCTAGCAAAGATCTTCCCCACAGTTTTACACTACAACTTCTTAAAACACATAAAAACTTTTATTGTTATTCCGAGGCATTCCAGTTTGAAAGTACGGTTTTTCCCCTAAGTACAAAATCCTCAGTCTAGAATAATTTCTCTAAATATATAAAGTAAAATTTAATCCAGGTACCACCATTAACAGGAATGAATTATCACAAAGCTCTCTAAATAAACAATTTTAGAGAAATACGTTTTTCCAGAAAACCACAATAGCTATACTTAAATGTTTCAAAATCACTTGGCTAATATTACAGCACATGGCTCTTTTATGAAAACATTTTCCTAATGCTGAGGTTATAAACCAGTGAGTTTTTCCCCGAGGTTTAGACATTTTCACAGCTGTAGCGACAAAGACTCTCCTTGACAAAACAGTATTCAGGCTCCTCTGAGCCCTCTTCCCACTAGGCCTGCACCTCGGCCCAGCCCCTGCTAAGCCCACAAAGCCTGGTGTTAGCAAGAATCCTGATAAGTCAGTTTAGAGGGCATCTCCCACCCTTGATAAGTGATCACCCTGAACCTCTGACCACCCTGGCCTGCCTTCAGCAAGAATCCTGTAATGGCAGGTTTAACAAAAATGCCACTCCCCCTGATACCTCATCACAGCAGTTTTTCATCCACTAACCCTTCACTCTGCTCCTCAGCTATAACCCCCCAGTTGTCTTTTCTGCATTCAGAGTTTGGCTCGATCTCTCTCCCCTATTGCAAGTCTTAATGTCTATTGTGAAAGTTCTGAATAAAGTCTCCCTTACCATTATTAACAACATTTTCTTTAACAGTTTACATAAAATAAGTGCACCAGCCATAGGTGCAGGGCTCCGTGAATTATCCTGAACTGAAGCAATGCATTTTAACCACTTGCTGTGAGTGTATAGATGGGGCTAAAAAGATGTGCTTGGGCTTCCATACATCCAGGCATAGCTACAAAAAGTAGATCATTCAGTACAGAGCCCATGATGAGATGAGATCACTTCCTACGCCCCTGGGGAATGTGCTATGTTTTCTAACAGGGAAACCATTCTACAATAAAATCCGCTCATCCTCCAGAGATCTGAGTTAGAATTTCAATGTACAAAACTTCAGGGTTACAAACTACTTCCTGATTTCTCAATATTCGTTTATAAAGCACTGTCATTTTCTTTAAAAAATGAAAAAATAGAAATATTGACTATATAGTCCCAAAATGTAGATACTTCAAAAATTTAGGTTTTGTTTTAAATACATAAAAGACATTATTTTACATTAAATTGTTCTTAAACTTATGAGACTGTTTTAATGGGAAAAGAAAAGTAACCAAAATCTCAGACACCATACAACTCGTGTCCATTGAAGCGTTTAAATATACATCACATGGTGTACATACGCATCGGTGCCCACAGGATGCTTTCTGGTCCAGTCCTATGAATACAATGGGGCCGGCTGACCAATCAGGCCTGCTGATTTCAGAACCTCTCCCACTGCATCACAGAAAGGGGACATGAGCAAGTGCTAAGAGGTCGCCTGCTTCACCTGCGGCCATCAGCTCCCGGCAGTGCCCACTGGCTGCTTTGTAGTCATGGAAACGAAGCGCCTGCTCAACCAGAAGGGTCAGAACCTGCCCTCGCCTTTCTTCAGCATCTTCACCTGGAAACACATACACACGACTTAATGATCTGAGTGCATCTACTCGTAAAAGAGCTCACGACGACCATCTTTCTAGTTAATTCAAAAATAAAAAGACTGGACTAGTTGTCAAAGATTATAGGACAAAAGCTCACAGTAACTTTCACCTTCCAAACCACTTATTAATCATCAAGTTAGGGCTCTGTCTCCTAGGCAATCAATGACTAACAGCAGCCGGACCAACCACTCCAACCTCAGGAGGTGGAGGGGATGCTGTCCTCCCAACAAGGACTTTAAACTTCTTTGCTAAAAAAATTTCATTTTTGTATTTTGCCCTTTGAATGTTCTGTTTCTAATTATAATTTAAAATGGCAAATATGAGGGAAAATTTTAAACACAAAGCAAAAAATTGATGTAATTTTATAGTTTCATTGACAGCACTTATTTTTTATTTATCATAATAAAGATCTAGACACTAAGAAAATACAGCAAATCCAGCTTATGTTAACCCAAAGATCTAAAATTACTTTCCCAAGAACGTTCTTAGAAGTCAGCTTCGACATCCCTCCCTTCTGTGGTGGTTCCACACTTTCTTCATATAACATACATGGTGTACAGGTGTCCCCTACATGTTCCTTCCCTTCTCATTTGCTGAAACAACTTAGGTAAGTAAAAAGCACAAAATGAGAATTACTGCTGCTTTAATGTAAACTTTTATGTGAGGATGGGTCAAACAGTCATCTTGAAGTCCCAAGTAGAAATGTTTAATTGCTTTCAAGTCTAGAAAGTTCCATCTGAGCAGGTGGTTAATAGGAAAAGCATAACCAAAAGTAGGCCTGAAAAGAATGGTGTCTAGAAAAATGTTACAAACAGAACAGAGTAAGACTCAGAGAGAAAAGCCAGGAGCGTGGTGGGGCTAGAGACCTAATGAAGAGGGTGATGAGTCGCTGTCTGAAAAGAAGCCCGAGGATGGCACGACAAGGCTTTGCGTGCATGAAATGTAATTTAAACTACGTCCATACATACTTTCATACTCTCTTCTCAAGATGGAGCTTAATGGCGCTCCTCTTCAGTGGAGGCTGGTGAGCGATTTACTTCTAAGAAACGGAATGAAGTGGAAAAGATGGTGTGTGACTCCAGACACTAGGTCATGAACGGCATTACAGGTTCCTCCTTGCTCTCTGGCAGATCAGCTGCTCTAGGAGAAACTAGTTGTCATGTTAAAGGACAGACACTCAAGAAGTCCTATGGAGAGGTCCATGTGACATTTTTGTAATATGCCAATCTTTCTAGGAAAGACAAATCTTTGCCCAAAAAAGCCATCCAGACACCTGTAAATTTTATTCTGAGCGCTCACCTAGGATAACGAAGAGAGTAACACAGAAACCTTACCCTGCGGTCAGCACTCAAAACTTACCGGCTACCCTCAGCAGTTCAGCCAGGCCCAGAAGCTTTGTGGACTGCTTGTAGCACGTGGGGGACTGGCAAATACACTCCTTGATGAGGCCAACTCGATCAGAGCACAGGCGCACTGCAAAGAAGGACACGCTAAATAAAGACTTGCAAGCAGGGGCATCACAAATGGGTATCACAACCGCCCTAATGTAAGGGGGCCCAAACAGAGAGAAAACTGTGCCAGCCTCCAGATCAATACGAAGACACAATTTTTTAAAAGTTAAAATTACTGTTGCTTCTGGATAGTGTACAACATGAATCTTTTCTGACACCAAACAACTGAAACAGCAAATGAGCCAGCCTTTGGAAGCTAGGAAAACACGTTTCATTTTCCTGACAGCTGGCTGAAGTGACTATTATTGTTTCCAATTTCCAGGTGATGGAATCAAGGCACAAGGACAGCCCTGCTTCCCAGGGTACATGTGAGAATAAGTACATGTAAGGTGTACATCAGAACATTCAAATCACTCCATAAATAGGAGTTACTTTTATTACCACCGGCATTCGTAGAAACGCTCATCAAGCATGGGATCCTCTACTGTAAGGCTTTTCAATGTTTCACCATAGAACTGTCAGGACTGTCGAGGGAATATTTTATTATCACCACCTGAGGAAGGTGAAGCTCAAAGACATTAAGTTGCCACAGGTCACGGAGCTCAAAGTGGTGAATCGTCACTTAAGCTCCTACGTGGTGCTCTGTTGGCATCAGTGTCGGTCCCCCAAGTGAGGACCTGTGCCTCGTCCCGTCATTGTTCCGGTTCCTGGAATAACGTGCCACAACCGATGCTCACTGGGTGGAAGGAGAGGGGAGCGGAGGGAAGACGAGGAGGACACGGCGGGGCGAGCAGGCAGGCCACCCGCCCCGCCACCGCAGAGAAAGCGGCTTCACTACAAGGGCGGCAGCGGACACCAGTGCAGCATAAGCACAAAGGAAGGCTGAGACGTCTGTCCATCTAGCCAGCAGTAAGGGGGAAGCTGGCTCAGGCTAGGCTCACCACGTGCTGCCGTCTGGAAAGCTGACTTTACCCTGTTACAGAAAGAACCTGGGGGCCACGAAATATCCTAAATCTGCCCATTTGAATAGCAAGAATGATTCATATAAACACACAAGCTACAGGGAAAAGCACACACATGTACACACACGAGCAATTCATAGGAGAATCCTCCATCAGGAATCATTTTAATGTAATATTTCCATTCCTGTTTTCTATTAACACGATAATTATAATTCAGCTGGTGCCACTGGCCTTCACCTGAGGAGGAGCAGGGACTCCGGAAGGGGACGCCAAGAAGGCTTCTAAGCAAAGCACAGTAAACACCTGGGCCCTAAATCTTGCAGCATCGAGTTCCTGTGTGTGTACAGTGTCCCTAACGAGTACAAAAGCAGCTTGACCTTAAGGTGTAGCTGTGGCATAACCACGAGCAGTCTATGAAAGAAACAGTCCATCTCCACAGCCGGAAGATTTTCTGACAGTCATTCTAACAGAAACTCCAAATCAATACATCAAGCTGGAAGGCTGTCAAGACGGGAAAGCAAACGTCTTCCTTAGGACACCCCTAAGCCAGGAAATTTCTCAGAAGCTACAGCAGGGCTGTAGGTCTGGCTGCAGATGCTCCAACCTGTCAGCTGCTGTGTAAACCGCCAGTGAAAACATTGCTAATAGAGCACCGTAGAAAATCAGAGCTAGAGAGACAGGAGGAGTTCAGCTACACCACCCAGCCCCCAAATCCAAGTATCTCCACAGTTCAGAACAAAGATAAGGGATTAATTACGCTGAAGCCAGCCAAGCATGCTGCTGAGAACCAAGCTACCCACTTCCTTTAGGGGACTGTGGTCCAGGGTCTGAAGCAACAGAAACTCTCCCTCCCACCTGTCAGGTGAGGGTCAGGACACAGGGAGAGGCACACTGTACTCACAGCACAAAGCAGACAAGGACAAGTTAACTTGTTTCAGCTGGTACTTACCTGATAGTTACATTTAGGGAAAAGATCTTGAGCAATGTTAAGATATCACCAATAATTAAACTCTAAACAGGAACTTCCTGTCATTCCCTCTTTAAAAATAACAGTACCGACCTTACTAAAGAATATTCTGCAGTAAGAATAAAAAGAAATAAACTATTATCATTTATAGCTACTTCTAAGTCTAAGCAACTGAAATAAAATACAGAAATAAACTGTATACCAAAACAGATGTAAATCTGCAATTCTCCTCCATAACCCCCAATCTCTGTTTGTTTTTATCCAATAGCCTCACTACTGGTACTAATGTTATTTCCTTCAATGTCATAACTGAATTTGAAAAAATAAAATCGTCATAAAATGTTTTCTTTTTTCTTCTGGGTTTCCGCTTAAATTTCATTTGAAAGATGGGCGGGATCCATTGCTAATGGATTAAATAACCAAAGGTGCTCTTCAATTTAAAAAACCAAAAAGGCACAGTAGGAAATTAATGGAAAATAAGTTAAAAGTACAATGCTAAGCAGGTAACTCACCTTGCAAAGGCAGGATCTTTACCCCAAATTCTTCCAGACACCCCACGGCCTGGATAAGATCAAGCTCCTCTTGAATGGCAGGTGGCCTATCTATTATCAGCTGTAAGCAGCACCTAAGAGAAGTAAGATACGTTTTTTAAAGCAGTAACAAGTTTGGCTAAGTTGCCTTTCTATATTGAACACAAGACCCAACACATATTTATCAAAAACCTACCACTTTCCAAGTATTCTGTGGACGCTTTCTGTTACCTTTCTTAATCCTCAAGACAAGCCTGTGAGGTAGGCAAATAGCACCAGTTGCTTTTTAAGGAAGCCAAAATTGGAGCTCAGAGAGGTAAGTGATTTGTGCAGGTACACTGACAGTAACGGTATTGTGGAAGGAAGCAAGATATTAGAAAGGTAACAGCATAGAGGGAATGCAGGTAATTTCTAGCTAGTCTCCTAGCAAAAACAGAAACGTCTTGATTCAGTGACAATTCTGTCTCCCCCCGACCTAAAAAAGGAATAACCTAAGGAACTACACAAGACATTTTCTGATCAAAAAGGAAGAAGCAGTTCATAATGCAGAGCTGCAATACAAATATGAGAAACTGATTTGCTAATCTAAGAATGTGTGATGCCTTTGAAGTATTTTAAAGAGATTCCTAAAAATCCAGAGACCGACACCTAGTGTACTAAATAAATATTTTAATTAAGGAATAAAGTTACTTCCTGAATGGTGCATGTAGAGCGACATTGGAACAGGAGACTAGAAAGGCAGTCAGAGACCAGGCCAGGAAGAGCTAATGGATGCTGACATCATAAATGATCAGACGAAACCTCTGGGGCCCCGTATGTATGCACCTACCTATATGACTGGGTAGGACTCACATACACTGCTGGTTCAAGTGTAAAGGTATATAACTTCTGAATTACCTACCGAAATGTTAACTGCAATCTGCTCTGAACCCAGGAATTCCAGTTCGAGAAATTTAATAAGCAAGGCTCACGCATGCCCAGACATAATTATGAATGTGCACTGCCACAGTGTTTTTAAACAGAATCAGGAGCTACTTAAATGAATTCTATAAAAGTCAAGCAATGGAATATCATATACCCATTAAAAGAGAGTAAGACAAACCTATAGGTACTCACACAGAAACTCTTCAGTATAGATCATAAATGAAAAAAACACAAGATACAGAAAGATATGTAGAAGTAGAAAGCCTTATATGTGATTTAAGAACGAAGATAACATTTAATATTTTGGAAGGATACATAGGAAACATTTAAAAAATACCTAAGGGATACAGTCAGCGAAACTAGAATGAGGAGACTTATTGACACTATGTATCCTTTCTGTATTGTATAACTATTTTATCTTGTGATGTATTGTTTCCTTAATAAAAAACAGTAGTTAATAAATAATAATTTAATCAATAAAAATATATGGGCTATTTTCTACATTTAATACAACTGTGAACATTTAAATCTATCTGGGCTCACAGGTCTCAATTGGTTTGGTGCTACATTGTAGTCTTATGACATCTTCTTAAAATGAAGTTGTGCCCTCTGGCAGGAAACGGGACAGATGAAGGGGAAATACAGGACAGGTAGTTTTTTAAATGATCTCTAAGAACACCTGCCAAGAAGATGTACGTCAAATAGCTCCCCATCTCAAAGGCTATTCTATTCGATAGTTTCATCATCGGAAATGCAACCCCTTGGGAGAGAAGAAAAAAATTTACCAACTATTTGAATAACTTTGTCAAGTTCAAAAACATGGTTTGAGAAAACATGGTTCTCTCTGTGGTAAGACATCACTGAAAAACCAAGTTACCTTGAAGTTTTGCTAGAGTTGAAACAACTTGTCACTTGGGGGGAAATAAATTTGATAGCTTTCACATCAATATACACTCCAAATGGGCCTAAAATCTCAATGGAAAAATAAAGCCATTGAAGTAGTGAGAGACAAAGTGAAAAACCATTTTAAAGTCTTGGGAATGAAAGGTATCCAAAGGATGACACAAAAGACCGAAACCAGGGAGAAAAAATAACAATCAAATGCTAATGGCAATTTAAAAGATAAATCATATGTAACAAAAACTTGGCAACACAGTTAAAATACTTAAGACAGGCAAAGGGCAAATGTCCTTATGCAAAAGAAAGTCCTAAGAATCAATAGTAAAAAGGTGAACACATTTCTGGTACAAGAGGCCAAGAGGGAAACTAAAATCATATTCCAGAAATTGCCACCTGGAAGGGGATTCTGAGCTTTATCATCTAATCAGGCCCATTGTCCCTCACCAGAGTGAAGCCACATCAAGGACACAGACATCACCTAACTGCTAGAAATTTCCAGAACTTGAATTTACAGACTATCACATGACTCTCTTCCCACAGAAGAGGTACAGCCTACAAGTAATCAGCAGAATTGACGATGGAGAAGTATTCTGGGATAAAGGGGTCATGAGGAAGTTGATGAATATTTAATAATTACTTTTTTCTGTATTCAAGTAATAACTGTACCCCATATGGCATAGTCAGCATATACTTGCGGTCACATAATTTGTAAGGAAAGAAGAAAACCAACAACGTTGCCTGTGTACTGTGCGTCCCCTGCCCTCTCGTGGAGGAACGCAGGCCACGCTACCTGGCCAGGTCCATGCAGCTGTCGGAAAGGCTGGCAGAAGAATTGAAGTACTCTCTGCTGGCAGCTAACACCAAGCCGGTGCTTTTCTCGTAGCTGACCCTGTACGGGGTTTTCCCCTTCTGGGCTGCGCTCGCCGGTGGGTTTGTGGGACCAGCGAGGCACTGCATCATCTGTCCAGCCAGGCGGATATTCTCGAGGCGACTGGAACACAGGAGGCTTTCTGCAAATATCTGGGAAAACAAGAAACTGGAATTAGTGCTTAAAAAGAAGGATTAGACTCCCAGCCCAACGCAGGCTCTGCTCTCCGAGTGAAATAAATCAAGAATACGCCCACCCTGGAGGTAGGGGCTGCACAGCTGCCAACATACTACATGGTCAATTTCATGTTGTGTAAATTTCACCTCAATTAAAAAAAACCCTCTTCTAGGATAAAAAATTTAACTGAACCAATATTAAATATATTTTAATTGTGTTACAAAGAATATTTAAGTAATATATCTAAAGTTCATTCTTATTAAAACAAGATCTATTAGACACATTGTCCTACACCCAACAGGGCCACTCTTTAAACTCTTAACAACCACTGCAAGTTTTTAAAATAAAACCTTTGAATATAATACATATAACTCATTACTGATTAAAGCATCTGAATTCAGCCTTACAAACTAAAGTAGACAAGTTACAAATGTTATACTTACACCTAGCCATTAAAATTACAATGTGCCATATAACACTGAGTTTTCTTTTTTTCCAATCTGCAAATTTAAAGCTATTTAAATAAAGCAAGAACCACTGATGGAAGGTGCTCATGCAAATATCACTGCATTCTACTAGGGAACTAATAGCATCAACTAACATAAGTTTTTTCTATAATTAAGATTGTTTAAAGGGGGTCAAATATATGGTGACAGAAGATGACTTGACTTTGGGTGGTGGGCACACAATGCAATATACAGATCATGTATCATAGAAATGTACTTTTAAAACCTATATGATCTTATTAACCAATGTGACCCCAATAAATGTAATAATAAAAAATTAAAAGAATACTGCAATTATTAATTATAGAATTTATTATAGAAATATGTATGTGTAAAGAAATTCAAACCACAACTAATCATAAAAACAAAGGCTACTTATTCCAGAAAAGTCTCACACAAAGAGAGCCTTTGAAACCTAACTGATAATGTCAGTATGTAATCAGTACAAGGCCTCCCTGAGCGCCTCTTCCCCGGCACGCCCCTGCCGGGTGAAGGCAGCACAGGAAGAAGGGGTGACAAGGAGATTTCATGAAGAAACAGGAGCATCCTTATCATTAGTAAGACTGTCCGGTTCTCACGTTTCCCAGTTTCAGGGGAAAGTACCTCTTTAGACTGAAATAACTGGTAAGAATAAAATTATTAGTAGTTTTTTTTTTTTTAATCCTTACCTGAGTATATTTTTTCCGTTGCTATTCAGAGAG